GGGATGGATGGAATAAAGACACAATTTTACTTACGCTCTTTTTCCGGCAATTAGCTTTTTCATGTATGATTGATCGTAATAGAAAAGTATTGTATAACATGTAACTTCTTAAAGACATTACATAAATTTATTTAATATTGTATAGTGTGTATAATAAAAAAAGTAGCAAGTTATTTTAATTTTTATTAATATCAAGATTTTGTAATTTGACCTTTATTTCACCCATCTCAATTTTTAATTTTTGAAATTTAATCGGGGTATCCTCTAAAGTAATTCAATATCTTAAAGAAAAAAAAAAAAAAAACCCAGAATTTTTCAGATTTGTTGAATAATATTAATTCGTGCCACGTGTCGGATTACAGTATAGACAGAAAAGCACCTTCAGAGACAGAAATTCGGCCGACTCTCTAATTCTTAAGTAGTTTAAAATTTTTTTAAATTTTATTCGAAATTGAATGAGCTGAAAGCCCATTCTGCATAAATTTTGATTATAGTTGTTACAACTTATTTACTTCCCGGGAATGGGAGAAGAAAAGGGATTTATTGGAAACAATATCCGCAGTAGTATAACTTTACAAGATAGGAAAAGTATTTATTCTAATATAAAGGACGGTGTGCTTGGTTAATCTAGACAGTTCGGTGTGTTAGTTTATTACAGGAGCTGCGTTCGGTAATACAAATCTGGCGTCGGAGTGCTCTTATATTATAGCATATATCACGTGCACTGTAGAAAAAGAGCATTCCGACGCCTCAGATTTGCATTGCCGAACGCAGCTACTGTCCTAGGATCCCTCTAGTAAGAGTCAAGTCATGAGGGGCACCGATTTCTGATTGGTCAAATTTCGAATCTTTAGACGCCGCCATTTGCCGATACTTTTGATGCGGTAGTGAATCTATGAATTGGTGTAAGCAACTATTTCATGGCGTAGAAGGCGCAAACGCGAAACCGGACTATCAACTGCCAAATTATGCTGTTTCCGACCGGTACCCGACATCCGGCAATGACGTCCTTTCCGCTCTTAACTCTTACTAGAGGAACTCTATACTGTCTGTCTGTTGCGCACCTCCTATTGTCCTAGTGTGTATTCCTAGCTTGAGATATCGTATGTACAATATATACAGTCGGTCACACAAAGGTCCAATATCTTTTATTTCGATGGATTCTCTAATCTACTCTTCTCTAATCTACTAAGCGATTGTTTTTTATTTGTAGATCCATGAATAAGAACCAATCATTCGGTGAGAAAGCTGCCGAAACCCATCGAAAAAAAGTGTTGCAACCTTTCTGTGACCGGCTGTACACCCTTCGATTCTTTCCCTCAGAATTTTCACAAATTGAGAAATGATCACTTTTCCATGGTGGAAAGAATATAAGGTGAAACATTGCGCATAATGGCGATAGCAATACTGGAAATAACCAATCAAATGTTCCCCAATATGCACTTTCCTGCGTATAATAGCGCTGGTTATACTTGAACGGCCAATCAAATGTTATCCAAATTCACTCTCCGACTGCGCATCCATGGGAGTACTTCACCTTATATTCTTTCCTCCATGCATTTTACTACGTTAATGCTCATAGTCCGTGCGCAATTAACGACTAATCTTACGTTCGTTTACAACTAAATTTGACGCGAAATAACTTGAATTTTTGGAAGTTTGAGGCTCGATTGTTCCACCTTTTGGTAAATTTTACCTCTTAGTATCTGGTAATTCACATGTGATTGGGTAATCTTGCTACTTACCCAACAGATAAAATTTACCAAAAGGTGGAGCAACCGGCCTTTAAAAAAGTAATTAAGGGAAAGAATCAAAGTTATCCTTGGGTGTACTCGTACATGTCGTATACATATTAACAATAGTCAGTGTTAAAATGGAAATATCATTTACTCCTATCAACGTTACAAAAAATCCCTACAATTCTCTATGCTAGAATAAAAAAAGAAAATTGGCGCGAAAATTCAAAAATATGCGAAAAGAATGATGAAAATGAAGGAAGTATCGTATATAAATGAATATATTTTTTCCAAATTAAAAAAACATAATTACACACACGCACGCACGCACGCACGCACGCACGCACGCACGCACGCACGCACGCACGCACGCACGCACGCACGCACGCACGCACGCACACACACACACACACACACATATACTATCTTAACATATAGTATATAAATGCAGAAAAGAAACAAAAATAGAATATTACATTAATTCAGTCTTTCTGATAACATAAATGTCACAAAAATCTAATGATCATCAGAGTCTAATAATATATCATTACCTTGCTGACTAGTGGAAAGAATTTCTACTTCTTCTCAATAATAGTAACTCAAATTGTATTTTTTAAATAATTCCTCTCTTAAAGGGTAGTTAGTAATATTAACTTTTAAATTTTCCATTTGCATTTTAATTCGTAATAATGAACACAGTTTTAGTACTTAATCGATTACGTTTTTTTGTTTTTATATCACTGCATTTAGAAAAAGTTCTTTCTACGTGAGCATTGGAATGAGGTAAGGATAAAACTATTTTTGCCAAATTGAACAAATTTGCAAATAGGTATTGACCATTAAAATCTTTTATTTCAAAAATTTGATACCAAAATAACTCAATTTGTACTTCCTTTAAGTTTTTTACTTCATCGTCAGAAAGGTGATACGGTAATTCCATTAGGCTTATTCCATTCTGTTATGATGTCATTAACATTAGGAACTAAAGTTTTATATTTATTACATATACTATATATGTCAATAGTGGTCTATTACCACTTTTACTTAATGCAATCTTTGGTATAAGAAACTCTAATTAAGTTATAAATTTATCTTTCAAGGGCAAACGTTTAATAGATTGTTCTATAGCAGTTTTATAAAATCTTAAATATCTTAACTTAAATTGTAAAACGTTTGAATGATTAGCAACATCATCTTCTAATGACGACAGAGTAATCTTTGCTGCATTGCCTACATTTATATTTTCAATGGGTAAAAGTATGTTAGGATTTATAGGTTTATTTAAATTTAAATTTGCAATATGTTCCTGCTGTGTTAGCATAACAACCGCTAGTCTCGGAGAAGGAAAACTAGTTGCAGTAGTGATCCCCGGGGTGGGTGGGTCCCAATCACCACGACACAGCGCGTCCTCGGGTTGCGGATAGAGGAAAAGCCTCGCTATCTCGGTTGAGGATAGAGGCTAGCTGCGAATAAATTGAATAAGCAGTCGCGGACAGCCGATTGGAATGGTCCTCCTGTTTGGGGGTTGGGCGTGGGTTTGATAGGCTCACACCGTGAAACGACTTTATCTTGAAACAACCAAAACTCGCCATGGATTCTTCTGGGGTAAAATTTTCCGGAGGTAAACTAGTCCCCCGTTCGGATCTCCGGGTGGGGACTACCTCGGGGAACTCATGTCGTATAAAGTCAAAACGCGGGAGAGACTTCAAAGTGGGTACGTGGAACGTCCGAAGTCTTTACAGACCTGGGGCGTTTCAATCGATGGTCGGGGAGGTCGAAAGGTACGGGGTAGAAGTTGTCGCGTTGCAAGAAACAAGATGGGCCGGGGAGGGTTCGCTTAATGCGGGTTCGTACACGCTTCACTATGGAGGGTCGGAGATCCATAGTCTTGGCATCGGTTTTATGATTAATAGGAAAATCTTATCCGCGGTAAAAGACATTAAATTTATAAACGAAAGATTAGGATTGCTCGTTGTGCAGGGCCGATGGTACAAGATCGCGATAATCAACGTACACGCGCCGACGGAAGATAAAGATGGCGAAATTAAAGACGGGTTCTACGAAGAACTCGAACACCTCGTGGATCAATTACCGAACGATTACATGAAAATAGTCGTGGGAGATTTTAACGCGAAAATCGGTAAAGAGGACATTTTTAGACCAACGATCGGGCTCGAAAGTTTGCACGAGGAAAGTAACGATAACGGAGTGAGGGTAATTAACTTTGCGACCGGCAAAAATCTTATCGTCAAAAGCACGTATTTTAAACACAAAAATATCCATAAACAAACTTGGATTTCCCCGGATGGAGGCACGCGTAACCAAATTGATCACGTTCTTGCAGATAAACGGCGTCACACGAACGTACTCGATGTCAGGTCTTATAGGGGGGCGGATTGCGACTCGGATCACCTCTTTGTAATTGCCAAAATCAGGGAACGTCTTTCGCTAAACAAAACTAACGGGCAGTTGTTTGGAACTAAACGTCTAAATGTACAAGGTTTGATCGAGGGAGAAAACGGAATAAAATACGCGGTCGAAGTAACGAATAGACTCGCGGCTTCAAAGGAAATAGATGAATCGGATGATAACACGGTTGATAAACACTGGGAAAACGTACGAGACGCGATAGTAAAATCGGCGGAGGCCACGGTTGGTTTTTGTAAAAGGAACAAAAACAAGCCGTGGTTTGACGAAGAATGCGTAAAAATTGTTAAAGTACGAAACGAAGCGCGCATCACGTGGTTGGCTCAAAATACGAAGGAAACTCGGGATCAGTTTCTTAAGATTAGGCAAGAGGCTCATAATATGTTTAAAATTAAGAAGCGTCAATACTTAAAACGTAAAATTGAAGAAATAGATGAAAATTGTAAAAGCAGTAACGTACGAGGCACGTACATGGGGATAAATAATTTTAGAAAGGGATTCCAAGCTAGGACGGAAATGGTGAAAGATGAGAACGATAATTTAGTTACGGATACAACGGCAGTTTTAAACACATGGAAAAATTATTTTGATCGGTTATTGAATGTCGAATCTGAAAACGACCGGGAAATAGAGAATTTTGAGTATCACACGGCTGAACCTAGGATTAACGAACCG